CCCCCCGAGAGCTTAAAAAAAATAAATCAAGCTGGACAGTGCTTTCAGCTGTCAATTCAGGAAAAAAACTCAACGCATTTGCTTAGATAAAGTCCAAATTTATAATATAGCTGCCCACATCGCTGATCTTCAAAAGAAGAAGCAAGACTGGTTATTTAGTCGCACAGAGAAGAAATAGTAAGAAGATGCACACATCTGAATAATGCAAAAACCTTAACACCATTGGTTCCTGTCAAAGAATAACAAAAAGGCAGAAGTAGCAGCAAAGTCACTTTGTTTCAAGATCAAAGGACATTACTCCACGGACACACAGGCTTTACAGACACAATCCTTTTTGAGATAGAGGAAAATTGTTGCAGATTACAGATATATTTGATCCAAGACTCTAATAAAAACTACTACAATTAGACTACTTCAAGCACCTAACTACACAGTGTAACAGCCCGTTTTCTTAAACTTTCACAGGAAACTCACCCCATCTGGTCTGCCATCCGAGGCTGTAACAATCAGAATATAGCGATCAGTGCTTTCTCTGTCCAAGGGCTTTCCTAAGGCTAGCAGTCCAGAACTAGTAATAAAAGAAAAACATAAGATGTTACCACAACAGTTTTAAGGTATCTACAAGCACTTTTGTTCCAGCACTTTGCGTTACACAGATGTTTCCCTTTAAGCAAGTTAATAAGCTTTTGGACTTTATTACAACTGAAAGCATGTTCTGTGTAAGTAAGTAATAAAAACAGCGAGCCAAATCCTAATGCTTTCCGCTTCGATACACGTATAATTTAGGATTAAAGTAACAACCTAGTGATGTACAGGATTATACAAAAGACAGACCTACACTGAAAACAGGACCCTAATTTGTGAGAAAGCTGCACCACTGTGATAAATGAGAAGAGAGAGTGACAAGGCGTCTATTAATCACAAAGCAGTCCCGATACCCACGACAGGATTCTAGCAGTAAACTCTGGGAATACAAAAGGCAAGGTCTTAAGTAGTAGTCTCAGAGTTCTGCAGGGAAAGGCTACTAACCTGTGTGCTGTGTAACTGCACTCAAAGTGCTGCAGCGAGCTACTGCCCTTTCAGTGCAAGGACAGATACAAAATATTCCCTAACAATAAAATATTAATGTAGGCACAAAAACACTGTGGAAAAATCAATCAGGGCATTTACTGACACCCATTTAAAAAAAGATGACGAATGAAGGGGCATTTGGAAGGCAAGTACACAAAATATAACCCAAAATTTTAAAAAAATGCCGCCTAAAAGCATTGCAAATTCTTGTAACTACTGACAAATAAAACAACCCAGATTTTGTCTCTAAGATGATCCAGTTTCCATATGCAGAATGCTAGAAGCCACCTGGAGGTGTGCCGCAGCAACACAGAAATATTATCCCACTGTGAACTCATTACTTTTACATTCGGAGGCATCAAAAAGTACCGTTGAGTTGACAATACTGTCTAAGCAAGCTAAACTCTGCTTAACTGACCTGGCAAAAGTGTTACTTTTGTGACCAGCCCTACAGCTCTGCATTTCATTTACAAGTTTTTAGTGTCTACTGGAATGCAGTCAAGTATGTAACAAACTGAGATCTCAAATGCCACCCAATTCACAAGCTATTGAAAAAATACGCACCAGTGAAAGTGGATGTAGGATGACATTTATGCTCTTGTTGCCTGGCTAAGCAGCTTCTCCTGTGAAACTCCTCCAAAAGTGTCATGGTCAGCTTCTAACATTTTTAGAAAAATGTAAGAGCGCATGATTTTGCAGTGCAAAATCCACACAGGCTGGGATCTTGGTATGCTGTGACTTTCCATATGTGGTTCCATTTTTAATGGCCTTATCGGACACAAACATTCATCAGGCGTAACTATAAACTTGACTGGTTGAGCTCACATTTTACATTCATAACCTAAGAACCTGAACACCTACTTGCTCAGAGAGAGGTCTTTTTAAAACAAGCAAGCAAAACCTCTGAATCCAAACAAACCAAAAAAATGCCACCTAAGATCTCACCAGCTGTACTTTTTTTGAAAACTTGCACGTATATCATCTGTACCTAATCATGTTTTTTCCCTTTGAGATTAGGAATTTCTGCAGAGTTTCTGCTCTAACTTCTTACTCTCAGAGAGACCTCAGAAAACTGGTTGCAGGCCAAGACTTTTTCCAATGTTGTTTTCAGCAGAGACAAATGCCAACACTTACTGGGAAGCCCTTAATGCAAGCAGTTTCTTCACAAAAATACTACAGAAATAGGTGGAAGCAGTGAGTGAAAGCATAACTCTCCCCTAGGACTGAAAGGTTGGTAGGTAAAATACTATCCAAGTTCCGTAATCAAATAAAACAACATTTCAGGAGATGTCATACTCAATCTGCATCATTGCTACACAGCTAAAACGTAGGTACATGTTATGTTTTGCTTCCTCAAAAAAGGAAAAGCTAGCAACTTCATCACACCTAAAATACTTCCTGGGGGGTTAATACAAACAAACGGACACGGGAATATGGTGTGTACCTTTGTAAGGCAGTAGATGTGGAGCTGACATGCCCTTGCCCCAAGCCCCAAGCGCAGTGCCAGGCTGCCACAGGGCCTCAGGACCCGTCACGCTTCTCTGCATGGATTCGCCTTGGCCTGCTCCGGGGTTGGTTTTAGCTTTTAACTGCGATTGCCTAGCGAGCCAGTAGCCCATATCAATGCTCTCTTAGCTTTTGCTAACTTCTCTGCAATTGTGTAGCATGATGCTTATTTTCATATGCCTTTTTTTGTAACTAATAGATAGCTGTAACACGGTTATTGTGCAAAGACTGAACTATGCACAGAGCGGTACCGACATGCCCTGTGGTGCAGTGAAAGTTCAGCCACAGGATGACACCGGAGCCCCTGGGCTACAAGCATCGCATCAGTAGCCTACTACTGACAAACACAGCCTTAGGAGCTGCTCAAAACTAGTCTGGGGTCACAGAGAGAACAATAAGCAAGTATCTACGTATGTAAAAGATACCGCATGCAGTAAAATTCCAGATTTTAAGATACACCTGCACACAGATGGGGGAAGAGAAAGAAACGTGTGGTACAGAGCATGTTAACAAACATAAAAATGACTCAGGATGGATCCTAGGGTGAGGAGGGTGAACCATCAGTCAATTTTTAGCTTTGCACACATACATGGCCCACAGGAGGACACTGAGCGTAAAAGTGGTGGGCTTTCCAGAAACCTGTCCTTCGTGTGTGACAAATTAATAACATCACGTATCTCATTTTTGCTTCCACTCTCATGCACTGTCTGGTGTTAAGGAACATTCAGCTCAGTTCAATTAATACTACTGTTTAATTACTAAAGACCCTTTAACTACTCAGCTTTCCATACTTTAGAGGTAGCAGATACTGAACCAGTAGTGATGCTACTGAGAAAGGCATTAACATCTTTTGAGGGCTGGAGGAAAATCAGACATATTATTAACTGACAAGAAATGCTAAACCATACTCTGTATGTAATTTAACAGTTCTCTTATTTCCAGATATTTCTGCAGATCAACTAGCTATCCTAACAGATCACATATGTTAATTCAGCATTTGTTTGAGACACTGCAATAGAATATGAACAGATGAAATCTTTAGGAAAGGAACAGTGAATAAAACATAAAATATCTACAGAGTAAAGTATTAATTCACCAAAAAATCCCAGACCAAAACAGAGCTAAGAATAAAATACTGACAACAAATACTGCTTTACTAACACTGATCTTTAGCTGCATGTGTCCACTCAAATTTCTCCAGTATTCTTGCCCTATCATACTACTTTTTTCATCTTCTCCTTCCTATAATTGCAATCCAGGTCTTCATTTCAATAGAAGAACATCATTCAAGAGAGGCTAATTGATAAAAACTCCAGTGTTTTACTCAAGGATTCAGATGCACTCATTCACTTCACACCCCTGTTTCTAATCACCACTTTCCCTGGGGAACATAAGGAGGTACTGAATTACTGCAGATCATGCTCAAGTTGTACTGCCAAAGAAGAAAGAACAAAAGCATCTCAAAATCCTCAGACTGAGGATAAAAGAGATCTGCTAGGTAGATGTAAAACTGGTAGTATTCAGAAGTCATGCTGCCAGTTAGGGAATTACACAAGGATTAACTGACACGCTCCAGGATGCGAGAAACAATGAGAAAAAGGAATAGAGTTAATCACATTCATGATATCTGCCCTGGTCTTAAAGTATCTAAACCCGTATTTATGTAACATTGAGATAAATTCCTGTAGCCTTAATATGCCACTCACATTAACTATATGCTTTGCTTAATATTAATCTCACTTTAATCTCCTACCAAGACATTTCAGCATCTAGGAAAATAAAGCACAGCGAAGAAAACTTCGTACAGCTTCCAAGAAAACAAATGCGAGGAGCAGGAAGGAGAAAACACTTCAAAGAGCTCTCCTTTTTCTACCAAGAGGCAACAGATCAAAAAGACAAGCGCACACCTGAGCTTCTGTTGAAATCCTCAGTGTGCCATGATGCTCAGATAAGTGGCGGGGAAGGATGTGAAGTTGGGGGGGGGTCAGGCTGTTTTGCGATGGGCCCCAGAGGCCGGGTGGGATGGAGGAGGACTCCAGCTGCCCCTGCCAGGCCCTGGGAGGTGCCACCTGCCTGTGGACACACAGGAGTGTGCTGTGCCTGCAGCCCTCAGACAGACACCAGAGATTTCTTCTTTGTTTTCATGTTGAACTCACAGCTGTGAATTCAACATGTCACCCTTAACAGCTTGACTTCTGGTTTAGACTGGATATTAGGAAAAATTTCCTTAGTGAAAGAGTGGTGAGGCACTGGAACAGGCAGCCCAGGGCAGTGGAGTCACCACCCCTGGAGGCATTCAAAGAATGTGTAGACGTAGCACTTGAGGACACAGTTTAGTAGACATGGTAGTGTTGGGTTGATGGTTGGACCTCGTAATCTTAGACTATCCACCTGAGTAACCCCCCTTCAGAGCATCCCTCATGCAACCATGTAAGTCCCTCATTCTGCAAGTTCTAAAGGTGACAGAGTGGGTCAGACCATATTCTCTATGCTCAGGGGAGGATCCCTAGCATTGCTCGCGTAGGGTATGTACAAATACGTGCTGTGCTGGAGCTACGACACCTTGTGAGCTGATGAACAAAGCCCACCTTCCCTGATTTGCACTGAAAACTTCAGTCCTATGAAAAAAACCAGCAGCCCAACACAGTTTCCAGCCCTTGACACTTTCTAAGCCATTCTTTCCTTGATTGATAAGTCTTTATTATTAGAAAGCACATCAATCTTGGTGGAGAACAGCATCAGCATCTCTTGGGATCTTCAAGGCTTTTTCGCATTGTTACATAAGTGATTTGTTTCACTGTATACGGGATATTTATCATGGCAAGTAACCTAGAGCTTACAATATACAGACCTGTTTCAGCACAGCCCACGTTGAATTAGAAAAATTTTTTGCAATTATACCCACACCACGAACAAACAGGCCCCAGGTTACTTCTGTCCCACCATCTACCATGGCAGGTCAGCTCGCCACCCTCCCTTCTTCCTACAAAGTACAACCATACTTTGAAATGTAAATAATAACTGCTTGGGTAAAATAAACAAGAGGGTGGTGGTACAGGCACAGATCTTATAATTTTGTAACATATCACCTTTTTCTACCTCAGTATTTAAGTTTCTATTCAATTTAAGGAAAAGAAGCTTTAAAACAACGTTCAAAAGACTTTGCACTACAGTCTAAAATCCCTGAAGGCAGGGAACTAAAGCAAAAACTGTCCTGTCATTAGTCAAGAGCTGACATGTATAAGGTTTTTAATTAATCCCTGGTCACTCTTTTTAAATAGAATACTTCCACCTCAGTGAGTTTTACCTACCAAAGTGTTTAATATAAATAAATAGTCCCCTGAGAAAAACTCCAAAGCACAGCATCATTCACAGAGCTCTCGTTAACATCTAAGAGCCAATCTAAGGAGCAGCTGAATATGTCTGATTACAAGTCGTCTTTTTTTCTCAGCCCACACATCCACTTGATTGAAAAGTTCCAAGTCTATTTTCTAAGGGTTTTCCACGTACCTTTGAGAGAGATTAAAAACTTGTTGAGGATCTCCATTATGAATGAGGTATCTTATAGGGTCACCCTCTCTATCAAAAGCCTTTAGGAAAAAAAGAGGATAAAATTAAGTCAGTTACAAAGATTTCTTTCCTTTCATTTATAACCTGGAAAATTAACCCCTCAGGTTTTATTTAAGTTATCTGCAGGAATTACACCACTCTACTTCTAAGGCAACCGTGGTAGTTACAGATAGGCCACTTAAGATAAAGCTGTAGCATGTAAGAATTCTTATGCTACAGAGAAATGACAAGATCCTGAATACAAACTTTCAAATTACTACTACACATAAACACACAGCATCAGAAGTAAGGAATTCAGGCTTTATTGAATTGCTTCTATTTTTGTGCAGCTACAGACTGATTAGACTCAATTTTTTGTTCCCTTTGTTTCTATCCTTCATTTCCACTTCTTGTCCAGACTCTTCTTTCTGTTAGTTTACCGGAATCCCAGTTCTTTTGCTAATGCTCTGTTGAGCAGTGTAGACATCACACACCCATTCTCCACAATAATTTCCTTTTGAGGAATGAGGATCAGGGTAAGACCTTCAAGAAGAGCTATTAACAGCATCAAAACAAGCACATTCCATCTACTAGATCACAGAAAAAGCTTTTCAGAAGTTGAGTGAACTACATTTGAAGTTAAACTTCAACTAATCTATTTCCAAAAACAGCCATAAATATGTCACGCAATCGTTCCTTTTCTTCTCAAGTGTACACAGACTTTTACCATAAAAATGACCATTAGGTGCTTTTCAGAGAAAATACTGTCTATCCAACTGTCTAACAGTTATAAAAATTTAGCATTCAAAATCCAAAGTGATTATAAGCACATTATCACATGAGAAACTACAAAGATACTGCTATGCAAATTGCAAGAAGGCTGACCAACAAGTTCAAGGAAGTGCAGATAGGATTTACTAGGAGACAGGTTAAAAATAAAAAAAAGAAGATAAGGAGAGAGTATTTTTGTGTTTCTCATCTTTCAGCAACCATCCTTTTTCTTACCTGTTTTGTGTAACCACTTCCTTTAAGACCACAGTCAAGTGCTGTGTATCTTTTGGCTGACTAAAAAGCGGTTCTTAAAACAAACAAAAAAGAAAAAAACACCCCCCACCCCCCCCAACATTAAGAACAGAAGCACAAACTATTCCACTGTGCAGACAGAACAGGAAATCTAGTAAGAAACCAACCTGCTTTAACCAAAGGAAAACAGTGGCTAAGTCAGAAGATGGGGAGCAGCATAAAGAAAAGGTGAGCACAACTATATGAGAACAAAGCCACAAAAAGCTGAGGCAAAACTGTAACAGCAACAGAAAAGAATACAAAGCATAACAGTGAAACGTTTAAATTACAGAGGAAACCTGAGGAGCGTAGTACCTTGCCACAACATAAAAGCAGAAAGGGTGATGTTGAGAAGGTCAAAGAGCTAACACTTCTTGCGTTTCAGCTGCAGTGAAGCAGCAAACAAAATTAACTGTGGCAACAAAGGGCTAAAATCTCAGGTGAGAATAGAGCAGAGAATGTGTACATAAACAGAGCATCTTTAAATCATCAGCTGAAATTAAAGCCTGATGAAATTCATCCTAGTGTATAAAACCATGGGCTGAAGTAATCTCAAAGCCATTAGCACTTTTCTTTGAAAACTCACAGAGGACAAACACGCTGAAGGGCAAACACAAGGTACATCTTTCACAGAGGAATGAGCCAGGAAATCACAGAGCAGACAGGTAGAGCTCAATTCCCAGAAAACCACAAACAATCAAATTATTTCTAAGTACCTGCGATGACAATATGGAGATGGATAGCACAAAGCTACATTTCTCAGGAACAAAGTATGTCAAAGCAATCTAATCTTCTTTTACAACAGGTCAATGGGCCTTGTAAATAGGGAAGAAGCTGCGAATGTAATAACGCGTTGTAGCCGTAGTCACTAGCATTTCACGCTGCCTTATGTGACATTTTCACAAACCAGTTTAGACAACGTGGTCTCCAAATGGAAGATGGGATTAAGCAAAAACAAAACTGATCATAAAAGTTAAGGTCAGAGAGCAGTAGATGCCATTTAGTATTGACTAAATTTTGGAAAGTTGCGTGTATTTCTTCCAATATCTATCAATTTTTTTCATTGACAGAATAGGAAATTCATTTTTAAAATCCATGGACGACACTGAGTGACAGGAGGTGCCATCGCGTGCAAGGGCACCGACCAGAATTCGGAAAGTTGTGTGTATTTCTTCCAATACCTATCAATTTTTTTTCATTGACAGAATAGGAAATTCGTTTTTAAAATCCATGGACGACACTGAGTGACAGGAGGTGCCATCGCGTGCAAGGGCACCGACCAGAATTCAGACACGCTTATGCTGAAGATACGAATGGTCAGGATCTGACTCCGTAAAGACTAGCAAAAACAGGTTAGCCATGAAACTGTATGAATACTGGATGCTGAAAATCTGACTAGTTGGTAGGTCTGAGGACTGTCGCAGACTGTAAATCACCAGAAGCACATTGTTGCTTCCATCTTTAGTGGTCCTTTGTATTATTTTTACCTTACCTGTAGGGGATCCTGTCCCCACTCCCCAGGTTTTTTTTATAGTTTACTTTTATTCACAACAAGTCGGGAGAGTCTTAAAAGGACAGAAAAAACCAGACTGGTTCCAGCTAATATAATTTTCTCTTTTCTGTCCAAACAATCAGGGGAAAAAAAGTTAAATCATTGTTATGAAAACCTTCTGTCTTCTTTAAAACCAAACAACAGCGAGTTATTCTGTACATAAGAAAAACGTGGAAGTCTTGCACGTGAGAAAAGAGCAATCTACGCCTACTGTTTTCCAGATCAATTGTATACAGTGACTTTATAAACTGTACACAAGGATTTCAGGTTGCTTCCTTGCTCAGCACATACCTGGACTGTGATAACGGTCCTAACTGTTTTGCAGACTCCCAGAAAAATTACACTATTTGCATATTTTAATTAATAATGGCTGGCAGAACATGAAGCAATAAACACCTCCCAGGCATGCAATAAGCTCTGAGGTTTATTTACAAATTAATACTGTGGAGATCATTTAGTATTGAATTACTTAATCTCAAATGTTGTTAATTAAAACACTAGTCACAATCAACTGAGTACATTATAAAATAAATAACAGTGTAAAAAAAAGAAAAGATGACTTTCCATCATATGCTTGAAAAATTTTAATGGAAAATGAGTAAATTTTAAATTTGCCTATTAGACTTTAAAATACATGTTCTAACAATAAAAGAGTTGTATTTGCATCGTTACTGATGTTTTGCAGATGTTCAGCTTAGCTACCTCAGACATCTTTAAAATAACTTGCTTACTCTCTCCAAGATTTTGTAATCCTCACGTTGTATGCAATACTAACAAAATATTACTAAGCGGAAGTCATAAAAGCATAGCCTCTTAACCCTACTGCACCAACCATAAGGTACTTGAAGTTCAAAACATATCAAGTATTGAACAAGATTAATCATGAAAGAAAAAGTCAGTGTGAAAACTCACACGTGAGAACACTCCGTAAATATTTCAGGTCTGGTAATATTCCGTATTACCTACACAACACAGGCAATACCTCAAGTCATTGTCAAAATGTCACACTGAAAAAAAAACCAACCAAAAAAACCTGAGATAACTAATAGGTAACTTTCTGTTTGCCTGGAAAAGACAGCACAAGATTTCATATGCTAAAATACTCAGTTTATGAATGTTTAAAATGTCCTGGCCAATTTTACAGAGGGAATAAAAAAGATCGAGACAGAAATATATTCCACACAATAAAAGTGCTTTAATACAGATGGGCGTATTAATGCAGAATGAGGCAGTTAAACTTGCACTATAAAAGACAACGCATCTGCCTTTTGGGTCCAGGACTGCCAGCCCTACAAGAGATACAGTCTTTGACTAATGCACAAGAGATGAAACCATGCATAAGTATTTTTTATAAATAGAAATTGTTTAGCTGAATTCAAGTCACGCATAGGATCTTGGTAATATAAGATAAATTTACACTGCAGTGACAGTAAATAGAAGACAACATTTTCTGTGCAACTCCAAAGCTCTTAAAACTATCTGATGCATTTCCTTCTTTCCCAAACACAGTTGCTTGTCTTCTCTGGGGATTTCGGGCACGTAGCGAGAGAACTCCCTCTGCTCTAGCACTGAAATGCTCACCAGCATCCTGGTGAGGAGGAGAGCAGCTGGCACGACCATATTGCATCTCTCTTGCCCTGCCTGGCATGGGGCTGTCTCTCCCAGGTTTACTCAGCATACTTTTACCAAGCGTCATTGGAAAAGTAAAACAAAATCTAGGTTAAATGTTTGGAGTTCAGTGAGACATTAAAGCAGAAAGATTATTCCACCAATGAGGTACACTTTCGAACCACATTTAAACTGCATGAAATCCTTAAATACTAAAACCTGCTAATAGCTTTTCTGCTTCCAAAGATCATTCAGCAATATATTCCAGCACCTGTCAAGAAAACACAAATGTTTCTGTTTCTCCTCATGCTCCTGGCTCTCGTTAGTCTTTGGGGTTTCCAAAACCAAGCATCTCTGCACCAGTGAGGAGAACGGCATGGATCTTCAATCCTGAACTCACTGCAGGCATTAATGATGTGCCAGAAGTTAATTTTCAGCACAGAGTTAAATGATTCACCCTCCCTCAGTGCAGGTGACTGTATCAGTTCAACCACCCATAATAATCTTTCATCAGCAAATGATTTTAATAGAAACTTACCCGTTCACCTGCATCAGTGATTCAATAAGAGCTCCTCTATTTCACACGCTTTGGCTTTGATTTTTTTTTTTCCGATTCATCTACTCAATGTGCAAAACACAGAGCCCCACGCTTCAGCTGATACGAACTGACCTGAGTCCAACAGAGCTACACTGACTTAAAGCAGATAAGGCTACAGCTCTTTGTGGCTTCTGTTTGGCTTGGGTGTCTCCAGCCTTCTTCCTCTGAATGGCTTTATATGAAGTTTGAATAAGGCTATAATGTTTACAAAAACCAGCTCAAGAGAGCATGCTGTGCTGAGTTTATTGCTTTAGACTTCAGGGCATCATTCTATCATAATAATATTAAGTTCCTGATACCCCCAAAAACATCCAAAGAGCTGTAATTTATCTACCTCTTTTGCACAGCTGGTTTTCAAGACCTGTGGACAGAACACAATGCAGCGAAAGCTTGGGGAACAGTAAATAAGGCAGGAGAAAGCTGATATATTAACCATGCAGCAGCTGCACACAGAGAAGCAACATGGGTCTGCAAACTGTGTGAATGTACCATTATTTATAGACAATCCTGGACTAATGTGCTTTCACAGCTTCCACTTGCAGAGCTATATCGAGTGGTCAGTCAGTACAGGGACCTACCTCTGCTTTCTGTTAGCCTGTTAACAGCAGTTGTTACGTACACCAAGAGAAGTAAATATCTTCAGATGCTTTTAAAAACAACAGGCTAAAAAATGTTAAATGCCAAAAATCCTGCGGAAATTTTATGTGAATTAGGTGGGGAAGGTCCTAAGCTCCCGATTTGCTGGCAAATGTATATAACACAAGAAATCACAGGACTTTCAAGTTTTAAGCCACTCAGGGATTTTTTTTCACTTTAATCCCATATGCAGCCTATAGTACCTTTTAGCACATTTAACACAAAATAGAACTTACAGAAATATCCAAGTAAGCACTTCTCGTATATGGTCCAGGTAAAATTATTTACTATAATGAAATAATTTTCAATCCCTATAAACTGTCCTTTCCCCCTGCATGTAAGGACTGGGTTCTGAATGGCACAGGCATAATCAGAAGTAACGTGGGAAAGGCTTACAGGGAAGCATCTGTACCTGCAGGTTTAACAAAACGGCTCCAGTTCTCATGGCCTCGCTGACTTCAAGGCTGTACATCAGCTGAGGAAAGCGGGGAGGGCTCTGGTTGTTGGGTGGAAGGACCTCAATGTAAACAGTGGTGATAGAACTCCTGCAACGCAATGAAGGGAAAAAAGTCAAAGCCAGACAAAATCAATAAATAACAAAGGCAAGGCAAGCAACAGCATCTATTTTATATACTGTGCGTTCTCTAGCTCTAACAACCTCCCTTTGCTCCTTTAAAAGTTTCAAGACTTGTTTTTCATTCTGCATGAAAGATAAAGCAGGCTGCCACATTAACAGAAGAAAAACTAAACAATTTCTTTAAAAGTAGCCCAAGTGTTCTATGAAAAATGAAGCAGTAAGGTGTCAGCGCACCCCCCACATACAAATCATAGAATCCTAGAATGGCCTAGGCTGGAAGAGACCTTAGAGATCATTTAATCCAATCTCCCTGTCAAAGAAGACTCATAATCCCCTGGTGATACTGTGTCCTGCCGAAGAGCATGACCAATATCTGAGATGGCAAGTGCTCCTGCCATGCACCATATCCACCACTGGAGCAAAAAAAAGTCATGCGGTTTGTTCCCCTTGTCTGGGCGAGAGTGAACAGAAAATGTTGATGTAGAGGATAACACTGAGAGAGAACAGGCTGCATCAATACACTGCCTCACACAAATAAACCCAAGCTCACTTCAGACTAGTGAGCCTGTATTGGGTCAGGCTGAGGTGGAGTC